ATTTAATGTTATGTTTTTTTGCAATCTTTAAAGCTTACAAGATGTTACTTCTGAGGCGTCTATATCGAGTTTTAGATATATTCGGAAGTCTGCGATTTTTTTCTGGAAAAATTAGATTGTTTCAATAACAGTACGGGTTGATACAAAATAAAAAACTCTTCTCTGGAAAATAAGTCATGTTGGATTTCTGGTACGCCACTAGCGGGAGATGCTTTATATTGAAAGTTAGGAGAATTTTCACATCAGTTAAAAAAGAGAAAATTTCTAGAATTTATCAGATTTAGCTATATTTTGCTTTTGCTGGCACTTCTAATTACTGGAAATTGCTCTTCCTGTCTAAAAACATATTGAATCTGTACATGACTGACTGCATATGTGCAAGAATTGTTATTTTTATTATGAAACTGTTCTCCGCTAAAGCTAATGGGCATTTTAGTTGTGAGACTGATTTCAACGAATGATGAGAAATCGGTCAAATTATGAGTTTTTTGTTATATTATCATTAAACATTTTGTCTATTCTGTAACATTTAGACTGGTACCAACGTTTAGAATTTTGAGGGAATAGAACCTAATAGAAAAGGTTAAAATTTTTACATCTTTTTTAAAATTTATCACCAATTTTTATTTATGCCATTTGTTGATGTATTGAGTTTTCTGCTTTTGTCCCTCCTAATATAAATATTATTATATTTTTCCCTTCGCTTCTTCCTACATCTCTCAACTTGTTAATCGCTGCTTTTTGCCAATTTCGATTTGTGTCCAAATGGAAGGTTTATCAAGGCGAGGAAGTCGGTCCACTCTATCAACAGCTCATCTCAAAAAGCAGTGAGGCAAGCTGAAGATTTTCTCTTACCCAATCTTTTCAGACCAATTTGCATCGTTATAGGCATGTTAAACAGCCACCCTTTCTTTAATTCTCTTTCCTTTATTCACTGTTATCAGGTCACATGTCCTTCCTCACAATTCTTATAACCTCTAAAATTCCTAAAAAATGCATGATGTTACTATGGAAAATTCTTTCTTTTTTTTTTGGATTTGTGCTGACTGTCTGTAATGACGAGACCAAGACAAGCAGTGTTTGTTTATAGAATTACCAACTGAAAATATTAACAGCAAAAGAAAAATCGTGTGAGAGTTGATACTTCTCTTATTGGTCGTGAGACTGACATTAAAACTTCAAGAGTAGTTGTCTATTTATTTGAATACGGAATAATTAATGGACAATTTATTCTTGTGATAGTAAGATTGACTTTAAAACTTCAAGAGTGGCTGTCTATTTATTTGAATACGGGATAATTAATGGCCAATTTATTCTATCCTATTTTATATAATAAACAATGATGACAAATTTCTGTTGTATTCTAACATTTTTCATTTTGTTAATTTGCAACTACCGTATTGAACATCTTTGATGCTTTTGCTTACATTTCTTATAACTTAAGTATAGAAACTGAGGATTGCAATTTTACAATGAAATTAAACTGATGTTTAGTCCAGTCTATCAATCTTATATTATGTGTATGGCACCTAATGCAGACTGCAGTCATTAGTGATTGCTTTTATTAAAAGAGAGAATTTTACATTTGTTGAGTTAATGCGCATCTTATTTATTTAACAATCGTGCTGAAAAAACAGCATTTGACATTTAGTTTGTATGTTAATTGGAGTAATTTTATGTTTGTTAAGTTGGCATATTACAGGGATATTGATGTCTTCCAAATGTAACTATTCAGTTATCAGATTTTACGTTTCAGGAAAGCTTGGAAAGATTTAGGTAACTTAAGTACTTCTGACGCAATGTCGGCGTTCATTACTCTACTCGATATTGTTTGTCCACCATTTCGTGATTTTGTCAGTGAACAATTACAGTCACAAGTGAATCTTAAAAGGTTATTTCTAAATTCCCATATAACATATCAAATTGTTGGAATTTATTATGCACAAGTTGTTAATACTTTAAGAGTGTCAGAACTACGCTTATTAAAGTTCTCTGTCTTTATTTAATGAGAAGTATTGCTCAAATTGTTAATAATATCGAATCACTGAAAATTGTCCCTTGCAGCGAAGATAATCTTGATCACCAGCAAAATAGTATTCAATCTGATGCTTCTCAAGTAGTAAATGATATGGAGAGATTTGAAGCACAGCGGTATGACTTTTATTTACCTCCTTACTTTATTAGTTTATGCTTCAGCTTCCCACCATGTATCACAGTGTAGGATTGTCAAATTCTTAATCCGCTGCTTCTATCACAAATAATCTATATTCACTGAATTTGAAATTAACTTACTTGAAGTTAGATCTGCTTAGAATGGGTATAAATGAATGGGGTTTCTCTCATTCAAAATTTTGAATCTTTCCTTTATATTTAAAACTGTAACATTCGATTATTACTAACTGATTTTCTCATTTATTCCACATATATTTTGTCTACAATGCCAGAGTGTTTTTTTGGAACATTAAAGCTTCATTTTCACTATCATTTTTCTACAGACTCTTACCTTAAGCATGCTAATCCATAAGTAGCATTAACATAGTTTAATTTTTGCAGACAGCAAATTCAGGAAGCTCTCAATCGCCAAACATATCATCAATTTCGAGCATACGCTCAACAGCAATTTGTAGGCGACCCTATTCAGGTTTGAAACTACTTTATCTGTGCTAATCTTGCACTGTTTAAAACCCTCAGTTTTAATACATGCATATTTGTATTTCTAAGCGCATAATATCGATCGGACTGCATTTATTTTTGCCGCTTGTGTTTATAATTCAGATACGTGCGGACATAAAGGTAATGAAAAATTTTTTTCGATCAATTTTCTTTTATGTTATTAGCTGAGCTCATGTTGTATGTAAAATAGAATCAGATCAAACACGTAATTTTTGGCTCTTCACTTGACAAACAACCAGCAAATCATCATTGAAATACCCGCATATTGAAATTTAGAAAACATCATGAATGTATACATGATTACCAGCTGATTATCAAAAGAGCAAAAACTATGGCGATAATATCAGTTGCAGATTACAACGCTTTACCATTATCTACAGTTTTGCACCGTGCCGTTAAGAAATTTATGATGAAAACAATAGTGGAGAAATATACAATTATAAAAATATGCATTGCTTCAGTTTTAAAATGATTTGGTCAGCAGATAAGACGCAACTGATATTTAAGTGGTGGGTAAATGCAACGCATAAAAAAATAAGGCTTCAAGTCATGGCTTAGTTTCTGAGTGTGTTTTCAATACAGAGTTTGCTATATAAATGCTCAACAAATAATTGAATAAGGGAAGAAAAAATATTTCAAAGGAGAGAAATAAGGAACATAAAAGGACTATCTGAGATTTGAAAATTGCAAACTTCTGACCAATCCGCTTACCTCGAATCTGAGATAATGCTGGGAAGTTTTACTAGATTGTGGTGAAGTCTTAACTATATATTGGAAATTTCGGTTAATCATTTTAAAACTATAGAAAAATTTACATCAATATTTTCTGGATATTTTAAGCCTGAAGCGAGTGAATAAATTTAGATATCTCCAGCTGACTTTTTAAAATGTACACAACGGGTAATTGATTAAATTTAGTTCGATAAATTGATCAGATCGCTCACATGAGATTCGATCCGGAACGAAACGCTTGTTTTGAATATATAAATTGTTAGCTGGAAGAAACATTTTAATAGCAATAAGTGTATTAGTCAAGAACATTATTGTTATTTTTATGCTGGTGCTTTTAGTATTAAGCATCATCCCTAGTTTGATACTTTAAAAAATTAGGCAGCATTGCCTATTAAGGTTTGCAAATCATGGATAGTTTAGTTTCTGTCTTTCTTCGAATAGATTTTTTTAATAAAATAATCATTGAGGAGACATTTGCAGATTTTCTATCCCTTACAATTTTTTACTTATTCTTAACTAAAAATGAATGCAGAATGATTACTTACCAGGTCAGAAGAAGTCTGAGGCTGTATCTCATTTTCCTTATCCCCATTTCCACAATTTTCTTCACTTTCTCTCTTTTTTAATTTAAGTCCGTTGTGAATTGACAATATTGCCATGTCGTCAATGTTCCTATTATGACTAATATCGAGTTCTCGTAGTTTTGTAATATTTTTCATTAGTGCAAGAGCCGCTACACCTTTGCTGTAACAAATGGCAAAATTAGGTCTTTGAAAGGAAACAACCACAATCTTTAACACTCAAGTTTTAAATAATTTAATGTTTATGTAAGATTAGATGCTCTCTATTTTATTCGTATGGTAAAAATCTTTATTCATGATGGCAAAAACTGAATTTTTCTCAATACAATGAAATTCACGGTAGACCTGGTAATGCAAGGACATCCTTGTACTGAAATCGTTTCAATGACATACTGAACTGATGCTAACGAGTAAAGCACTTCATCCGTTATTTCATCGCAGTTTATGAGTGCGATCTGAATAACATATGAATAAGTTTTCAGTGAAGTTTGTAAGAGCAAAGATTTTTTTTCTCTTTTTTCTTCATAACAACCAGTGACGAGTAGTAGGCTCAAAAGACTAACATTATTGAGTGTGCAATCTCTGATCATGGTTAGTATGGAGTTATTGGTGATATTGAAGCACTTATTGAGTGTCAGTGAGTGGAGCTTCTTGCGAGCGGCTAGCTGAATTAGCTCCTCATCGGAAAGATGGGGCGAATGTCCAATACTCAATGAATCTAGCTGACGGCACTGTGATAACGACGAGTAATCAAACACTTTCGAACAGCTTATAATTGTCAGCGACCGCAAGTTCACTAATCCTTCCAATATTAATTGTAGACTTTGTCCAGTTAGGGCAGTACAGTTCTAAAACTGATTCTTTTATTTGAAGAAAATTGAATCGGGTTGTATATAGCTTGTTCTTTATTATTCACTAGAGCATATTTAATTTTTAGTTTTATTTTCATGTTTTCATTGTGTAGCTTCTACATTTTGTCCGTTATTCGTTTCTTGATATTTTAAAAAATTTTATACTAATCAAGAAACTATTTTATGGTTTGATTAATATCTTTTAAGAGAATGCAAGAACCTTTCTTTCTTGTAGGGATGGTTCTCTAAAGTTTTCGTAAAATTACTTCGGGAAAGGAATAGTTCACTTTACTTGATGAATACCATTATTCTGTAACTTATTATGTTAGAAACCAGCTCTGAGAGTATGCAAAAAAAAAAACATTACTTGCCTGAATATGTAGATCTTGAATAGTATTGCGAAAAGCTAATGGTTCCATTGGAAAAACTTGTGCTTCTTTCTGTATATATCCTATATGAAGAGATTGTAATGCTGGTAGACCACTGATGTATGATAAAGTCATATCATCTGTTACTGACAGTGGACATAATTCCAATTCAGTTAGGTTTGGATGTAGAGCGAGAAATGCGTTTAAAATATCTGCTGGAAGTGAGTTCGTCCCACTGATCTCTATGCTCCTGTAGGTTTTCGTTCCATTTATCATAATTTTGAAATTTGGAATATGACGATAGTTGAGACTTCTATGAAGGACTCAGGAGAAAACTTACTTGAGGCAAGGAGAAAGCTCGTGAAGTTTGTTCAGTTTAAATGAAGCTCGTCTGAGGTTAATTTTCTTTAATTTTTTCATTCGTTGGAAGAAATCTTGCACCTAAAAATATTTTCAAAAAATTGCTAATTGCAAGTCATATGTGGAGCAATGGATAGATTTTTTTGGGACTTAGCAATAGTTGCAAAGTTGTTTTTGGTCCTGATTGTTGAAATAAATCTTTAAGTGCAGGAATAGAAATGGAAGTAAAAATGGAGCTGTAAGCTATTGAAATTCGAGTCCTAGCAAGAAACCTGATCCTCTTCCATTTCACTTTCCATGTTAAATTTTTAGAAATAATGTTTAGAACCTTATCACCGTCATCTTTATTCACCCAACTAGTTTCTTCCAGTGAAAATACTTCCAGATTCTCGCCAATCTTCTCCAATAAGATAGATATATCAGCATCCAGAATAATACAACCGAGGTCAAGTTCTGTTAAGCGAGTGCAATAACTAAATTAGGAAACAACTTAAAAATATCGAATAGTGATTTCCATACTGAATGTGGATGAAAGGTCCACATTTTTATTGCCTTTAAAAATTAAACCAACTCGGCAATAGCGTCAATAATAGGCTGTGAAATTTTGAGCCACCGTTGACCAAAACTGATCGTCCGAACATATCGCCCGCAACGTTTCACTACTCCAATAACTGTTGGCGCGAATGAAATAAACTCCTGAAAAAATTTTCCAAGATTGGGCTGTAAATGAAACCTACGAATTTAAGAAAAAAATCGCAGACAGTAAAGTAAATGTGTGATGTATTCGATTGCACTTCAGTGTCTGCAAGCAGATGTTTTTGTGTTAGCTCCATTGTGATTCATTGTCATGATTTAATTTTTTTGGTTTAATAGTTTAGCAACAATAATTTTAAATGCAAAGAATAAATCAATGTGTTTTTCGCGTGAAAAATAAAAAGAAGAAAGTGTGAAGATGAAGATAGGGTCAGCAAAAAAATAGTGCTTTGCTGCTTGTTAATGACGGAAGCCTTAACTTATTTTCATCAACTGTTCATAGCTAATGAGCCGAGATTTCTTGATCAAATGTATACTCCTGTTGTAAAATATATTCATCAAATTCATTAAAAAAAAATATTTTATGTTCATCAAATTCATTTACTTATATTCACCAAATTCATTTTAAAAAGAGAATAGTTTAGGTGGATAAATTGGAGATACCTGCTGAAAATAACTGCTGGAATCATTTGCTAAAAAATCGGCCATGTTCAATTCTTTAATGTTTGCATAGCTTGCTTGCTTCTGAAAGTATTAGTGGATTTGTTTGCATAACAAATATGGATTTCCCATCCAGCAGCATTAGGCAACAAACAACCTTTGAAAATATTAGGTTTGGTTTCTAGTCTTTCGTAGATAATTAAATCGATATACTCAGAACATATGCGGTGAAGTATTGCAGTCATTAAGTGGTCATTCCTTATCCTACTATGTTATTATTAAAACAGTTTGATGCAGGAGCGGAATATTTTAATATACTCAACTATTTCATATTTTTTTTATTAATACCTTATGCATATATATGCTATATAAAGCTTATTTACTTAATTGATTGGTATAAGAAACAGAGAGTTGCAGGACATTATTTTCTGTAGTATTTAGTGATTTACCTATCAGCATTTTTATCTATCGATTTGAATATTATCTTTCATAGTAAAAGTATTTTCTATTTAATTTTCCAAAAAAATTGGTTTTATTTGTTAGTCAAATCTTTAATGAGCCGTTTGCAGCAATTGAAATAAAATGTCAGTCTAAAGCTGTCTATCTAACAAGTTATTAATCGAAAAAGTATCGTAAATTTTTTCAATCTAGTTAAAATTCTAACCAGTCCTTTTTCATACTTTAATTTCTCTGCGAAAAAAAAAAAACTCATGGTAGCAATGATAAACTGATTTTGAGTGAACCTGTAGTATTTCGAACCATTTATGACATACGACTTCAAGGCGAACACGATCAATGAAATCCAATTTCTGAAATATGGATATGAGACAATCCTCATGCAGCTTATCGATCATTGTTTCTTTTCTTTTCCTGCAAAATAATCTTTATTCTTTTAAAAGAATACTTATCAATTATTGTTTCTTAAATATTTATCCTTTTTTATTTTCTTACTTATTCATCTTATGACTAAACTGCATGATAATCTGAAATTAACGGTTTCATTTGTCGGCAAAATCAATATACTTGAAAATGGTTTTTATTCAAAATATTAAATTTGCTAACTCATGTCTGTTCCTTCTTTTGTTAAGTATTCTAGTTTTTGAACGCGATACTTTAAATAACAATTGAAATCAAACGTTCGAAAATTGTCTCCTCTCAAAAAATTCCCGGTACAATTTAGTGGCGTAAAAAAGTGCACTGCATACAGACAGTTTTTTACAATGTCTTACGAAATCTGCGAAAATAGTTATGCAAATTTTTGTGATATTTTCAGAAACATTCGGAAAACTTGCTTATTTTTGCTGGCTTTGTTCATTATTAAAATCTACAGCACTTCCGTCTTGACAGTTGTAGAAAGAGAATAGGTGTGGAAGCAGAGTAGTACTATATTGGTGAATGGAAGCGAATTTGGGCAGTTGATACAGTGAATACACTTCGAAGTCGATAATAGCTACAAAAGTTGTATTTTCTGTCTTCAGAAAAGATTCTGATTGAAGAAATTTGTATCCTTAAGAGAATTAGTAAGAGCCAATTAAATTTAAACAAAAAGGTGTAAACAAAATGGGGGTTTACCACTTGCTGAAGTTGTTAATGAAGTTGAGGTAGAGGTGGATATTGATGAGAATGAGATGTGGAGAGTTCGAGGATGAAACTAACAGACTAAGCTTGTCTAACGTTTGTTCGACTTAACTTGAAGCAGTCATAAGTACTGACGTAGTTGCTACTGCAACTGCTACAACTACTGCTATTGCTGTTGTGCCGGTGCTGTTGATGATGATGTTAATGGTGAGATGATGAGAATGACGTGATTTCGTGCGTTCTCTCGTCTTTTGAAAAGTTCAGATTGCTTATTATGCTTTGGATGGTTCTTGATTTTGTACTTATATCGCACTAAACAGGCACTGCATTTAGGAAGAACAAAAAATGATGTTAGGAAGAGATACAGACAAATGATGTGATCTTTAACGAAATCTGATGCTGCAAATTACATGAACGCTTGTGGGAAATAAGGAAATTATTTGAAGGGTAATTGATCTGCTATTAATAGTTTTACTCATGCAAATTTCTGTTTAGAAGCCAATGTAAAATAAATGAATATAACGAATTGGTGAGGTTTGAGGTTGACTTAAAATTTCAAACTGATTAACATATGGTTCGAATAGAGAAGCTTTAATATATGACTTGATATGAAAGTGTTAAGGATCAATGAGAATCTGTAAACTGTGTTATGAAGATGTCTTTCTTCATCTATCCATTCTAAAGCTCATATGCCTTAAAAATTGCATGTTTTTTCATAGTTATTTATGTAGTTGGAAGTTAATGCATCACTTTTCGTCTTTTTCCAGAAATTAAATAAACTTGATTGAAAATAGAAACTTTAGCTATTAAGTTTTATTTAGTCATTTATTGTCTTCTGATACTTATTTTTTTATTTTCATAAATGATGTTAAATTTTAAAACTTTGACACCCATTTATTGAGCGAAATAGCTATTTATTTTACTTTTTGGGTATGTGATTAAAGGACCTGTTTCAAGATAAACATTACAGGACAATTCTGAAATAAAAAAAATTACTTCAAGCATCAATTTTCTTGTTAAGTCAGCTGTTTTTCATTTACAGTCCCTTCTTTTCTCATTTTTCATTTGCAATAAGCTTTTTCCTCATAAATCAGCGTAAACAAACTGATTAACCAGGCTTCCTAACTTATTGATCTTTAATGGATAAAATTACAATTCGTTTCCCAACTGAGACATTTTGGAATAGTTCCCTTAAGTAAATTTTCGTCGTGGAATGTAAAAGAAAAAGTTGAAATTCAAAGGAGTTTAAAAATGAAGTCAGATAATAGATATTCTAAAAAAATTAATACACTGAGTCCATCGAGCAGTTGTGTTTTTCTGGGTTGTGTTTTTATTACACTCCCACAATGGATAAAGCTTCCTTGTTAAGTGCAAATTGAATTTAGATTCATTCAGTCATTAAATGCAAAATATTAATTGCAATTTTTTACTCTATCATCAGAAAAATTTACATTTTGAAGTGCAATCCGCAAGGTGTATATAAAATGGAAAATCTCTGTATTACCCGGATTTCAACTTTGAAAAATGTCCTTGAATAGTCCATATCTTTTAAGCAGTAACAAAGGAAATTGAAGGATATATAGAAAGTGGTCTAATCGAGAATTCCTTCATATGGAAAATTCATGATAATTAAACACTGTTACAGCAGGAAGCATTGATCAAACAGCTCCAGGAGCAGCATTATCAGCAGTATATGGCTCAAATATATGCGCAGCAAGCTAAAGTAGTTGGTGCATCTCCAGATAGCGAGCTTATCTCAGCGAAAAGTGTGAGTGGACAAGAAAATGTGCAAAATAAAGTTGATAATGAAGAGAAGCAAAACCGAAGTCAGAATTCGGATGTTTCTGATGAGGAAGCCGGTGAAGACTTGCCTTGTTAGTTTATTTTCTTTTTTTATTTTTCTAGGTTTTAAATTATCGGCAAAAATAAGTGACAAACAAGTTACAGTTATAACAATAAGCTATTAGTTATGCCAAAAAAAAACACCAGTGCTAGAAACTCTTATGGGAAATCCATCATTTTTAAGGAAAACACTGTTTTGCTTTTTTAATGACTAAAGAAAATCGGGAAAAGAAGGACCATTTGTTTTTTAAACAGTTATATTCTAATCTGTGATTTCCTTATTATTATGCTTTTTTTACTATCGACAATAAAGCTTTAATTTTTTGCTATTCCATTTGTTTAAGCGCTTGGAAATTTGATTATGTGCATTTTTGAATTTTTTTTCTGCACACAATTTAATTGAATTTATGCTTAATGCAATTTAAATGAAATAATAATAAAATCTTAGGAAAAAAGGATGAAAAAATGATGTAAGCTGTATTTTTCTTTCTACAATTATGAATATATTTAAACTTGGAGACATTTTCTTCCCTCCTTTTCCGTCTCTTTTTTGAGATAATTTTTCCTTTTCACTTACACTTTTTAATTTTTACTTTTCTGATTGAAGTATGTTCAATTCATGGCCAAATGGTTCTCTTCTGTCACTGTAAGCTACTTTATTATGTACTTCAAGGCTGGTCATCCTTTGGTTATTATTCTTTTTTTTAAAAACAGTTCTGTTCTGTCTAATTTCTAATTTGTATTCTTGAAAGACGAAAAGTTTTCATACCACTTACGAGTTTAAAAGTTTGAAAAACAAGCATACCTGAATGGTAAAATGGCATGCCCCTAATTGTATCGCTTTTTGAAAGAAAATTTGTCGGAGAAGTTTAAGACAATTCATTTGAGATTGAATAACATAAGTAGTGCCAATTATTCTGATAAAAAAGGGAAATTCAGAACTTGTGCACATTTCGCTTATTTTATCAAATAATTTTAAGAATTAAAAAGTAAAAACAATGCAAAAGCTTAAGTCGAGTGGAGCAGCACATTGAAAAGAATGTCTGAGAAGAAATGGGTCATAATAAGGCAGTATTAATGCATTTCATTATTTGGAACGAACGATGCTTCGTGCTTACAAACACTGTCTACAAGTGGTGTATATCAAGGCCGTGATACACAGTGCATGAACCAATTTGGAATTCCTTCGTCTCTTTCTTTCCTTTAGTTACAAATTATGTTTGGCAGCTAAAATTTTCAACAATATTAGAATGAGAAAAGACTGAACGAGATAAATTGATATATTGTTTATGAGGATATAAGCTATCTGGAATAAATGGGTTCGGTTTCTGCTTGCTGTCATTCTTCATTAAATAATTAATAATTTGAGAATACTCATTAATTCTGCAGAAGTGTTGCTCACGACTCATAAATTTTGCACGGTAATGGTACAGCACAGTGGAAACAGATTTCCTCCTACAAATAAATTTGTAAATTTGGTTGGTTAACTGATAAATATAAAAGTAACTGCAACAAAAGTGGAATTTCGTAAGGTAAAAATTGATGGCAATGGGGAAAGTGATTGAGAGCTAAATTTTCCATAATTCATCAACTGGACAGTCGATTCGATTGTTAATTTCTTTTGTTTTTAGGTCAACAAACAATTTTGTTCCTTTTTTTTTCGAGCATCAATTTTCGTTCGTAATGGCTTTTGTTATGTTTCACATGAATTGCGCTTTCTCACACTTTATATTAACGACCAAAGGAACGAGCGGAAATAAGCATAATAAACAGAAAAATGCATGATAGAATTGTTTGTATATAACAAACAGTTTTTGTAACATATAAGAAATGAACATGGACTAATTATATATGATGTATAGCCTAAAAGATATCTTCGGATTGGGTGGTACAAATAGGTTGGTGAGATTTTGCTCATCCACTTATTTTTACTCTTTTATAGTATTTAAGAAAATTTCATAAATATGCTTATTTTCATCATATTATATGTCTGTCCTTATTTTGTGCTAGGTCATTTAGAATGATGAGGAAAATTTATTTCCTAACTTATTAAAGCGCTGAAAATTTTCAAACGTCCAATTATGATTTGTATCCATTAGACGGTTCATATTTCAATGCTGTATGGATCTGTTGTTAGGTTCATGATGTAACTCTTTATTTTAAGCTTGAATTAGTTTTCTGTATCTGTAGAAGGAATCGTAATATTAAAATTATTGGACTAGTTGGCATGGATTACTATAGTAAAAGTCTAGTATTTCTAATTAACTATTTTATTTTCACCATTAGTATCTCTTATTAATTGTTGGATTTTCCAGCGAATCCTGCGATAGCACCAGCATCAATGTGGAATCGTCAAGATATTGTAGAATTCAAGACTACTATCCGAAAAGAAGGTAGTGAGGGCATCATCAAAGTTGGACATGGTGAAACAGTAACGGTCGGTTTTGCTGTTTAAAATTTTGAGTAACTTATGAGAAGTTTAATCTATGTTCGGAGCGGTTCGTTATTTTACTTTATGGAAGGGGTAGAGCGGTATGTAAAAAAGACGTTATCTAAAATTCATGCGATGAGGACGAATGGTTTGATTAAAAAATATTGGATGAGATGGGAAATAAATCTCGGTAAGCTATATAATACTGTTTATGTGAATAAATTTTGTATGTTCTTTCATAGCTCAGTGCTTAATTTTAAATGAATTTATATTAAAGAATGCTTACAAATCATATTGTTGCAGGTCCGCGTACCAACTCATGAGGAGGGCAGTTGTTTGTTCTGGGAATTTGCAACCGATCATTACGATATTGGTTTCGGTGTCCTTTTTGAATGGACGATTTCTCAAACAAATCATGTGAGTGTTTTAATTGTTTACTCTGGATGATCCAAATATTGTATTTATCAAGATGATTCTGAGGGTGATAAAGATAGGTTGTATGTCGATTCATGACGTTTTTGAATAGAAATATAATAATTCTATTATCATATTTTTGTTCAAAAACGGCACGAACAGGTTTTACTTTGTCAATTATTGGGATCAAAAATGTATGCAAAAGCGACATTAGTGATTTCATTTTACAAATGAAATCTGGATCTGATTAATTACTACTGAGCAAAATAATATAAACATTTAGTATATGGAAGCACATGTTTCATGGCGGTTAATTTTTTTTCGTTGATTTCATCTTTTCAAATCGAACCTTTATTTATGGGACCGTATAATTTTTATGGTTTTCAGGTTTCAGTTCATGTATCGGAATCGTCCGATGAAGAAGCAGACGAAGAGTTATTACAGGTAGAACTAAGGACCAGTGATGTGGAAAGTGGTAGTTCTGTAAGAGAGAAGCAGATGGATCAGAACAAACCACACATTGATGAAATTGTTCCCATTTATCGACGTGATTGTCATGAGGAGGTTCACATACTTTTGTTAGGATTTGAAACTAAAGAGAATGCTGTACTGGAATTTAAAATTTCGGAATTTTACGTGCTGATGATAAGTTCCAGTTCAGTTGCATAATATTGATTAACTAATATGTTTGCTGTTTGTCTTGCAGCTTCTCGATTTCACCGTGACCATAATGATTAATCAGACTTGTTAAAATAGTTAAAATACAAATTTTCTTCGAGATCCTGCAAACTTATTTTATTTATAGATAACCAATAATTGATTAGAAATGAAACACAAATTTTATTCATAGACTTAATTTTTTAGTCCATACTTAGTCATTCTAATTCTGTTATCAAATATCAACTTCAGTTCATAATTTTCTTTTTCAAGGTGTACGCTGGTAGTCACGTATATCCAGGACGGGGTGTATACTTGTTGAAGTTCGACAATTCATATTCTTTATGGCGGTCCAAAACGTTGTATTATCGAGTGTATTACAGTAACTAAATAAGGTTTTTTTTATCATTATCACTATTATTACCAATAAATTATTAAGAATAACAAATAGTTTTCTATCATTTATAATAATTAATTGAATCTGTGCCTGTTTTCTGCATATATTAAAATATTAGGAAATAGGATATAAGTTTCCTTATTGTTACTGAATGATTCGAATGTTACAGAAACAATTTTCGGCCTTTTTTTTGGAAAATTGCAAGATCCAATGAAATTGTAGAACGAAATAGCATTTTCGTGAAAGTAACTTGCATCTTTTAATACGTGAAGCTTGAAAATATTTTTGCTCAGGAAAATAAACGTTGCTTGTTGTTTTAAAAACATATATGACCGGTAGCACTAGATGTTCACTTAGAAAAAATCTACTAAAATTTTTTTTTGCTTTACATATAGCGGTGTTAACTGACATTTGAAGAATGTATAATGTTATATTTCATATCCTAAAATGCCAATATTTCCCCGTTCAAGGCTTGAAAAAAAAAGTTCATTTGAATAGGCGGCTAAACATCTAAAAGGTTGAGGTAGTCAATTTCAAGAGGATAGTGATTGTCATATTTTTAATTTTTTTAATACAAATTACTTTTGGATCAAAGATCATTATTTCAGAAGGTTCACGTTTCTGCAAAACGTTGCACTGAGTGGTGAGCAATTCAATTATTTGTATGAAGGCCATATCGACACAATTTTATTCTTTGTTAGAGTTAATATATTTAGTATGTTTTTAGTTTTCTTTTTCATTTTTTGCATAAATTATAGTTATAGCAATTTTACTCAATGAATTGGATAAAAATTAATGCACTGTTTCATAATAAATACAATAAATGTGGCGAGAGATATAGTTGAAAATTATTTAAGCAAAAAATAGAACGATATAGAGTTTAGATGTCTTAGTTATTTATATTGATACACAGTGCATTCATTACACACTGATACATCAGATAGATATCTTTAATATGAAAAATAGAAATAATGAGAGGTTTAAATATTTTGTTGAATTAGTAGTTGTGCTCAAAAATTTAGAGTAGTAAGTGTAGAATATATATGATTCGAACTTTGGCTACTAATGCGAATAGAAGAATAGTAAATTCAGTAAAAGTATTTCAGTTATTTCAGTTATTATTTTGGTTATATTTATTGTTATTAAACTTCATAGGTGCCAGTAGAATGTTGTTTTTTAGTAGGGATGCAGCATATCCGGTATCGTTAATTTTGATATGTAATATGTGATATGATGTTTTTATGTTGCTAATACTTGTGGAAGTAGCAATCTCATTTTGCTCTCATTTCTATATCGTTGATTTTGATATATAATATGAATCATTATCAGACGTTTGGTTACAATGTCCATCAAAAATCAGTCTTGTAATCCCGTTTGCTTATAATCTTTCTTCAATTTAAAGAAAAAAAATTTTTTATTGTTTGGTTTACCTCTAGTAGATTTTTTTTTCGATAAATTTGAGTTTAAAAATAAAGCGTATTTTTTTTAAATTGTATTACCTGTCTCCTTTTCTCTTTTGTTCATGTAAGGAACTTAATAAAATTTGTTTAATATATTTGTTGCAGTTGCTTTTCTTCATCGTTAGTTTCTTTTTATAGAATTTTTTTGGTTTGATACACACATACACAACGTAGAAGAATGTTTTGACATACTGGGAAATCCAGCTGATGGAGCAATTTGAGTCTTCCAATAATAAATGTTGAAATATTATAATCAGTTTTATTTAATCAATTCTGCACTTGTTATCCGTCAATTTATAGAAACGTTTGACGGATAGCCAATAGAACGGTGGTTTTCATGCTATTGTGCTGATTGGTTTCAAGAGGTCTGTGAGTGTTATTTGTGCTTGTGGAGGAGCGTAATTATAAATTTGATGTATCGTAAATATGGTCCTTTATGTGAATACAATGGAGTATGCCTTGATTCCAAGGACACAACCATCTCCATCTTATCGCGGATTCTTCCTTCCCTACGCCCATTTCATACAAGTGCGTGCAATCATCCAACGATAATTCCTTTACTTGCTGTTGTCAGTACATTTCGTATCTCTATTTTATGGCTTTTTTATTTGGTCAAAATTACTCGGTTTTATGCTAATCGCTTTTATTCATATTTTCTGGAATAAAGATTAAGTTTAACCGTATTATTCATTAAAGACCAATCATCTCTTAGAACAGTTTTGCTTTTCTCATGTGCTATCATTTCGTATGCTTAATTCGATACTTAACGCTCTCACCATTACATTTCTGAAATTCCTAAAAAGAAAATTCAGCTGGAATTTATTGGAATATTAAAACATAAAAATTGATTGATCACAGAGTCATATATAAGTTCTATATAT